AGGTTACCAGGGATGGGAAGGGAAGGAAGGGGAAACCACTAACTAGAGGGCTGTTGTTGTTGTTATGTGCCTACTAGAGGGTAGACACATATTAACTTGGGTGACGGGGAAGGCAATATACAATAAGGAAGAGGTCAGCACAAAATGATCAAGGAAGATGCTGGCAGGAATACAAGAGTTAAATACAACAGAACTAAACACTAATTCATACACAATCCTGCAATAATAGTAATAACAATAATCAGTAATCTAAAATTGGATACATAGATAGACAAGCAACCTGAATAGATGCGGAAAGAAGAATGGGACTATATCCATGAACATGCAGAGGATTTCTACATTGTATTTACATATCCTGCAACTATATCCAAGAATATAGTACAGCATACAGGGGGCAAAGTTATGAAAACTTCTTTAGCAATAACCAAAAACCCTGAGGGAGTGAGCTGCTTGGTCTGGGGACTCAGGACTATAGTCTCAGGGGACATCAAGGTCAATTGGCATAACATAATCTACAAAGACAATGGTTTATGTCCTACTTTGGTGAGTAGCGACTGGGGTCTTAAAAGCTTGCAAACTGCCATCTAAGGTACAACTATTGTTTTCTTTCCATCCAGAGCAAATAAGAGTGAAGAAAACTCAAAGACACATGGAAACAATTAGTTCAAAGGACTAATGAATGGACTATGTGAACCTCAGCCTCCATGACCCTGAGATCAGAAAAACTAGAGGGTTCCTGGGTACAACTACCAATTGCTCTGAAAGGTATCACATCAGAAGGTCCTAGATAGAGTGGGAGAAAAATGTGGAATAAAACTCAAAATCAAAAAAAAAAAAAAAAAAAAAAAGGCTTATTTGTTGTACAGAGACTGGTGGAACCCCTGAGACTATGGTCCTTGATCACTCTTCAGACCTGGAACTGAATTCACTTCCGTAGCTCATTTTTCTATCAAATAATAGACACTTCTACAAGGTGAACAATTAACTCTAAGAATGCACACACTTCTTAGAACAATCAACAGTTTGAGATCAAAAGGGCAGCATTTACTCAAGGTCAAATTTCAGAAGGCAGGAAGAGTGAGGAGAGGGTGAATGGAAACAAGAAACACAGGGAAGAAGAGGGAGGAGTGCTGTTATATTGTTGTTGTTATTTGACGTCGAGTCAAACCCGACTCATAGCGACACCTCCTTGGGTTTCCAAGGCAGTATCACTACGGAAGTAGGATTGCCCAACCTTCTTTCCGAGGAGTGGCTGGTGGGTTTGAACCGTCAGCCTTCTGGTTAGCAGTCAAGTACCTTAGGCACTATGCTACCAGAGCTCCTGCTGTTATATTGAGGAGATTGCAATCAATAAAATGTGTGTGGACAAAAAATATGTGTGTGAACTGCTGAATGGAAAACTGACCAAAGTTCGATGATTTTTCTTTGGAATAATGAACAATATGGATCTCTTCCAGTCAGTTGGACAGGTAGTTGTCTTCCAAATTTCTTGGCATAAATGAGTAAGTGCCTCCAGCATGTCAATTCCTAGAGCACTGTTTATTACCAATTCCTTCAGTGCAGCTTGGGCGTCTTCTTTCAATACCATTGGTCCTTGATTGTATGCTACCTCCTGAAATGGTTGAACATTGACCAAATCATTTTGGTACAGTGACTCTGTGTATTCCTCCCATCTTCTTTTTATGCTTCCTGCATTGGTCAATATTTTTCACTTGTTTTTGTTTCTAGGTGCTATTGAGTCATCTTTGACTCATAACACTCTTATGTACAACAGAACGAAACACTGTCCAGTCCTGTGCCAGCCCTTCAATCTTTGCTATAACTGAGCCCATTGTTGCAGCCACTGTGTCAATCCATTTTGTAGAGTGCTTTCCCCTTTTTTTGTTGACCCTCCACTTTACCAAGCATGATATCCTTCTCCAGGGAACGGTTCCTTCTGACAACATGACCAAAGTAGATGAGACGAAGTTTGGCCATTCTCGTTAACAAGGAGAATTCTGGCTGCACTTTTTCCAGGACAGATTTGTTAGTTCTTTTAGCAGTCCATGGTACTCTCAGCATTCTTTGCCAACACCACAACTCAAAAGCATCAACTCTTCTTCGGTCTTCTTTATTCATTGTCCGGCTCTCACAAGCGTAAGAGATGATTGAAAATACCATAGTTTGGGTTAGGCACACCTTAATCTTCAAGGAGACATGTTTGCTCTTCAGCACTTGTAAGAGGTCTTTTGCAGCAGATTTTCCCAATGCAATATGTCATGTGATGTCTTGACTGCTGCTTCCATTGGTGTTGATTGTAGAACCAAGTAATATGAAGTCCTTGACAACTTCAATCTTTTGTCCATTTATTGCGATGCTGTTTATCGGTCCAGTTGTGAGGATTTTTGTTTTCTTTATATTGAGGTGTAATCCATACTGCAGACTGTAGTCCAATCTTCATCAATAAGTGCTTCAAGTCATTCTCACTTCCAGTAAGCAAAGTTGTGTCATCTGCATATTGCAGGTTGTTAATAAGTCTTTCTCCAATCCTGATGCCACATTCTTCATATAATCCAGCTTCTCAGATGATTTGCTTAGCATACAATTTAACCTCACAGATTATTTTTCAGTTTGAAAATTTTAAAAAAATACTCAATTATAGATTAATATTTAGTATGACTTTGAAATAAATAGGAGCTCTGGTGGTGTAGTGCCTAAGGCATTTGACTGCTAACCAGAAGGCTAGTGGTTCAAACCCACCAGCCACTCCTTGGGAGGAAGGTTGGGCAATCTACTTCTGTAGTGATACTGCCTCAGAAACCCAAGGAGGGGTCGCTATGAGTTGGGTCCAACTTGATGGCACCACATTTGGTTTTGGTTTCAAATAAATGAGTAAAAGGATTTCTCCTGAGGAAATCATGATTTAAAATGATGTAACAAATAGTGTAACTTGTTTTACGTTGTGGCTCCTAGGAAATTCAAAGTTGAATTAGTACTGTAACTCTGTATGTCATAATCTGCTCATTTATATTGTATTGGCATCATTTCCTTTCAATCCCCGTATCACTTATTCTAATTTATATCATCCTGGATGTTTTACTCTTGTATTTCTACTTTATTGTGTAGATTTCCTGCCAATTGCCACAAGTCTTCAAAGGTATGAGATGAAGTAAAATACAACAACTTTAAAAAGAGATGTAGCTACCCTTGGGTTTAAAATTAATGGGAGAAGTGTGACATAGGCAGAACAATACTATTAACTCTTTTATTAACAAAATTCATCAGTTATCAGGATATTACATGGAGACCTAATGCAATGGTTGAGAAGCCTCTTAGGCGCTATGAACCAAGTCTCACTCAACATCTGGAGTTAAAAGTTGGGCTCTGAGTCCTTGAGAATCTAGTCCAGAAAAAATTCTGCAGTTAAATGAGGCCTGCTCTTTTACTTATAATGTTAAGCTTATTTATCTGTTTGTCCTAAGTAGTCATTAGTAAATACATCTTAATTTCCTACTGATGAAAAACTCAGGGGCTATTAACATTTTCAATAGTAGACAAGTAATACATTTGTTGAATGTACAATCATAGGCCACTTCAAATCCTTTTTGGAAGGCTTCAAGGAAAAATGACTGCACTTATTACTGAGTGATCAAACTAAAACTAATATACCTCCCAAAAGAAGAATAAATGGGACCCACAATTTATTTTGTCTTTTCTTTATCAGGCCATTTTAACTATGGTACCTATGCCTCTGTAAATTTATATAAAAATCTCCTTCTTCCTATTGCACTCTAAGATGTAGAACAGTAAAAGTGAATTTTAGGAAAAGGTTTCTTTTATTTAAAAGGTTGCACACAGTCCCCATATGGTTTTCTACTGCTCTACAACAACCCCTTCAAAAAGACAGACAAAATCTTTAATATAAGAAGTTTAGTTTATAAACACCCCAAGATAATTTGGGAAATGCGTAATAAAATAGAGTGAAGCTCAAAAATTACAAAGATTTTGCTAATATGCAAACTATCAGACAACCTAAAATTTGGTACATTCAATCTACCTAGTTGATTTGTTCAATGTGGTAATTTTTCTAACAAAATTCAGTTGTGGGATGAATAATATCTTTACGCTCTTGATAAAGATGTTAAGAACAGTACTGCTGTGACCAAAAAAAGAAAAAAGAATATATTCCTGGTTACACTGTTTCACTGGCTCAGCAAAGCCTCCAAGATACATGAGCTTGGCAATGTCAAGTTAGGCATATGTAACAGAAGGTGCGCTGGGTTGACACACATTTTCATCATACAAATCTTCTGGTAGTTCCTCTTCATCTCCATCAGGAAAATATGTAGGGAATGGTAGATTTTTACAGAAATCCTTATATGTAGGCAAGATAGAATCTCTAATCTGGAAGCAGAAGCAAAAATCTTATTAGTAAGTGCTCCAAGTAAACTTGTTATTTAAACATAGCCTATTTAACTTATTATTTATTATCAAAGAATATCTGTTCCTACATTTTTAAATATGAATAACACAGCTATTACATATATGCAGTAAAAAGACTCAATGTATTTTTTTATTCCAATAAATTTAATTAATCCAACTATAGAAACACAATCTGCCCAAGTTCATTAGTCAATGTGTAACAATAAAATTACCTTGATTACTACTTTATCTTACTCATAACTTATTAACCTCTGGAACTGTCCAAAAAGATAAGTTGTTCTTAAATTACTGATCAAATAGCAATTATATCCACATTTTTTTATTTTTCAAGTAGAAAAATTTGATATATCTGATATTTATTTTTAATTATCTATTTTACCATCTACTCACATTATCTATTTTTACTTTATTTTCTACTTTTTATAGCACAGATTTTTCTAGCTGAGGTTAGAAAAATAAAATATATCTAGCCAGCCACTCCTCGGAAGAAAGGTTAGGCAATCTACTTCCGTAGTAGATTGGAAACCCAAGGAGGGGTCACTATGAGTTGGGTCCAACTCGACGGCACATAACAACAACAACAGCATATATGTTAGTCTCAACGCTAAGATACAGAACCAAAAATAAGAACTTTTAGTAAGGAAATTAGATGATTTAGTAAACAGCATTATCACTGAGCTTAGAAGAGATTAATATTTAGAAAAACCTATAAAAATAAATCCATAAATCTTTACACTAGCTATTAACTCCTTATGTTCGAACAATATTCTTATTATATCTGTGTACTCACAGAACAAAAAAATTCTTTTACAGATACTGATATGATCTAAAATATTATGGCTTATTTTTTTAAACATTATTCGGTTCTTCAAAGCTTCTGACTCATTCTACAGCCTTCATTCAGAGAGAAATTTTAAAAAATGCACTTAATTACACACAGAGTAAAAGAAGGCATAATCATTTTGGCAATAAGAAAATGAATAATTTGGTTGAAATAAGTACACAGCTGCTAGAAACAGCTAAGTACAGAATAACAGATCTATTTTAATCTCATCAAAATTGTTCCAAGAAATTATATTTATGCTAAATTAACCCAGAGAAAATAAATTTGTTTAGGTTTTTTTCCCCCCTAATTCACTAATCTTGGATTGAACCTGGACTTTCACTTTCAAAGTCATATTCATACCAATTTAAAACTTTCACAGAATTTGGCATTAAAAATAAAACCCAGGTAAACACTAAAACCAACAAAAAAAGCATTCTCTGCTATGTTGATACATTTTATTTCACATTTTTACATATAGCTGAGGAACATTTCAGACAACAAAAGCACTACTTATACATTCAAAGTGTAAATATTACACTACTATAATTCATTGATTTGAAACATATAAGAAGACATCTACCTAACTCTTTTTGTCATGGTGGCTCTAAAGTTGACAGCCAAAAACTTGCAAAAAATTTAAAAAATGTGCAAGATTCTATGGGATTTATTTCTGTATACATAAATCTTATCCCTGGCTTATTATTTCCCTAAGTTTTCAAGACTCTGTCAACCATCTATCTTATTCTTTTTATATTTATGTGTATTGACAATCCAATTCAAATTTTTAAGGAAAATACTAGGGGGTGGGGGACACTGACTGAAAAAAGTTAAATTTAATAACACAGTTAAATTTGTAAGTTAGGCCATAGAAATAAGCACACATGAATAGTACCTAATAACACACATATGGTGGAAAAAATAGTTTTTTAGGCTCTCTTGGTATATTTTGTGAACCTAAACAACAAAATGTTACATTAATTAACACTAGGGATGGACAGCCTTAGGACTACCATTACTAACTTTAAAATCTTAAAAAAAAAAAAAAAAAAGGCAGCCCTACACTCTGAAGTAGAAAAGGGGCCTACATAAGGAGAAGATGTTAATGAGGTTGCCTGCTAAGTAAGAAGCACCTCAATCTCTAAAGACAAGGTGAATCATTCTCTCCTGATTTAAATCACCTGAAAGAATGGAAAAAATAGGGGAATGTTTTCAAAAGATATACTGAGTTTAGACATTTAAAACTCATAGCACACTCCCTCCTCAAACTCACATCTTAATGTTTGGGACAGACATGTGTAATCTTCTTTAAGGTTACAAAAAACAAGTTATTTAGGTACCGTATTTCAAAGATTTTTTTTAAAAGATAAGTTCTTTTTATCCAAATATGTTTGTAAGAATACAGTTAACACTAGTGTGTTAACAGTTCAAAGTGGACTAGATACTTCTTTGATGTGAGTTTCTTTTGGAATTGCCTTTGTTGTAATGTCTGAGTATCTACAGTAATAATAAGCCATCATCCTTAAAGAAGGTCAACTGAGTTTTCAAAAGCAACCTTTTAAGTAGATGATGAATCTGAGTAATAAATGTTGCTGTACAGAACTGTTTAAAACAACCAGCTCAGAACATTACTACATCTACTATGGTCTCTGAAGAGAGCCGACCTATCTATTCCTTATGGTATCAAAGATGCTGAGGTGACAATTGAGAAGGTCCATCTGGAAAGTGAGCCTAGAACTGTGCACACAGTAAAATGGGAGAAGAGGAGGATTTGACAACACTTAAAAAGATTTTTTTTTCTGCTATCTAGTACAATTTGACTATGGCAACTAATGCTTTTCCTTTTTTTCCTCTTCTTTTATGTTGTGATATTCAGAAGGTAGCTAAGTTACAATAAAGTATGAAGGTAAAATGTTATGAAAAATAAGTAATAGCTTCTTGGCTTCAACATGTCATTGTATATAACTGAGCCATCTGAGGATTGGAAACCCACTTAAACGTAGAAATCTACATCCAACCATTTATTGAAAAGGTGAGGCCAGGCCATCCAAGGTCTAGGCTTTACTTGAGCCATGACAGCACTCACTCCCCTTGCTGTTCCTAGCTCCACTCCCGAGGGCTTGAACGATGAAGGAGGGCGTCATTTGATGATCAGCAAAGACGGCTGGCAAAGTGTTTACAGAGGACAGTCGTATGTCCTCCTGAAAGTACGAGTGATGAAGGGCAGGAGGGTCCACACAGACTAACAGAAAGAAAAAGTCTGAAGAGAAGGACAACCGAAACATATGGAAAGTCCTCCTTAACAAAGGGCATCCCTAAGGAAGATTCTCAGTTCTCCAAAAGTCTCATGTCTTATAATTTAATGTTGTTTTGTCTTTTCTTTATCTTCATTTTATTATAAGGATCTCAGCGAGATTCTGATGATGGTAAAATGCACCATGTTCCTCACAAAGCTGAAGCACAAGCACCGTTGTTCAAAGCCCTAAAATTTGTATTAGCCTTCTACTGATAGAAATGCATTTCTATTTCACAATATATCTTATGGAACAAATATACATTTTGCTGTTTTCTATCATCTTACTAAATTTCAAGGCTGATTTTAAACCATATTCTGTGAGAGTCAAAGAGCAAATAAGAAACTGGGAGAAAAGACATTTTAATAATTTAATTTACAAACAAAAATACTAGAACATGCTTAATACTATAAAGTTGTTTTCATGCTAATAAACTAATACTTATTGAGAAAAAAACCATATACTTTGCAAAGAACAGTTATTTAGTCTAAATAACTTCCTCTGGATATTTGTTTAAATAATTCTTATAAGATGCTAAAAATAAAATTCATTCCAGGCCTGGATATGAGATCAAAATCAAGAAGAGCTGCAAAGTTATTCTTTCTGTAAGATGGTGAGTCTATAAAATATATCCTAAGTGATATGACTTACTAAAAAACAAACAAACAAAAAACCTCACAGCCATAGAGTCAATGTAACTCATAGCAACCCCTCCTTGGGTTTCTAAGGCAGTATCTCTACTTACAGAGATAGGACTTAACGAGGGAAAAAACTTTTTTTCTTTAAAGAAAATGAGAAATAGAAATAAATCTCTCAGAGTTTAAGAGTTTTCACATCAAATCTATCCCATATATGCCTATTTTCGTCTTGTACTTTGTTTTTGAAATTTCTGAAAATAAACCTGCTTTTTAAAGGGAGAAAAACAAAAAAACAAAGGTGTAATAAGGGTAGTGCTAGTAGTAAAAATAATCAATCTCTCTCTAAAATGTCTACTATTCACCTTTCTTGGTGACTCAGTCTCATTTAATTTCCACCCCACATACAGCCAATTCCTGTGTCAAAGCAGTGCTCTTTGAAAAGCTAAAAAAGTTTTTGGCTTTGGAGGGACAGAGATATACTGATATTTTGACAATCAATTTCCTAATATCCTTTTGATATTTCTGAAGATCTCTCTGCTTGGTAGTGCTACTATTTTTTGTAGGTTTTCAGTTCCATAGAGTGTAAGTTTTTTCATGCAACTTTTAAATTCAGATACTACTCAAAAAGCAGAAAAAGTTAAGCAAAAAGCACGTGTTGAAACAGCCACATATTTTCAAACCACATACATGGATCAAGGAAGAATTTATGGCACACTCACATATCTGTCAGCTATACATACATACCTTTACTAAGCAATTTTTATGCCCAGGCACAGAGCCATTTACATAGATTATATTGTGCTTTGTGTTTATTCTCCACACCTAAAGCAGAAAGTGACAATGAAGTTAAAGAATTAAAAATTTGAAAATATACTTGTATTGAAATAAGCAATATCTGTTTGTAAAAGAGGAAGAGGATGAAAGCCTGTAAAGTAATAATCATGTGAGCACTTTCAAAGGTTGAACAAAAACTTTAAAAATTCAAACCTTATGAGTGACACTGGGAAAGAATAATTCATCAAGAAATGGCACTGAGAAAATGAAGTATTTTTTTTGGAAAATCATGTCTGACCCACATGTTTGACATATGTATCCTACATATAATCCATAACCTGCTGTATAACCTCCCATTTTTCTCTGTGCTTACATAACAGCATAGCAACACAGATGCCTACGGAGTCTTTGGTTCACTTTTTTCTACATCATGCTCTGAATCTTGCTTTTGTCACACAACATTTTGCATTCTTTAAATATAAAACTGTAAGTTACGCCCTACAGAAGTGGTAGAAAACTCTCACTTTAAATAGAAATGTGACTGAAATGACCAAGACTACTTGGATATCTCATTGGACTCTGTTGGCATCACTAAAGCATAGCAAGATTTTTTTCCTAGTTATATTAGAAACTAGGAACTGGGCAAACTGGTTCTCTGGGCCTAATTTCTAAAATAAGAGGGCCAAGCAGATATTCAGATGGAGAAAAGACTTACATAAACAAACTGGAAAGAATGATCAGGAAGAAAATGGCAGAGAGACAACTAAATACTTTTGGAGAAAGCAAGTTTGATCCAGGGCTCCTAAGTAATAATGGCTAAAAGTTAAATACTTCAGAAACAAAAATCTCTCTCTCTCTCTCTCTCTCTCTCACACACACACACACACACACACACACAGAATTTTAAAAAAAGAATAGATGTCTCCGGTAAGTATAAAAGTAATAGAAATAAAAAAAACAAAAAACCTTCGATTTATTTACACAAAATTTTAAATTTTTTGCCAGTTAAAAATGATAAATAAAATATATCTAAAATAGAAACTAGAAGGATATGGACAAAAAAGACTGGCTTTGGGTGTTCTTATGGTTGGCTTATTTTCTTTTCTGTACTTTGTATGCTTTGAAATATATATATGTATACATACATAAACTGTAGCAGCTGTTTATTTTTGTAAACACAGAATTATACTGAACCCATTACAACTTGCTTTTTTACTTATGTATCACATATATACCTCAATTTAGTAGAGACTGAACTTAACTTTTCCCCTTTAAAATATATTTCACAAAAAATATCTGTATTTATAACCTTTTTTTAGTGCTATTATCCCATCCTCACATTTTGCTAGCCTTCTTTTCTCTTCTTCCTCATCTACATCCAGCCACCATACACATTTGATATATATCCATTTCGAACCCATAATATGGTACGTAACCTTCTACTTTTCTCTGTGTTTATATAATGGCATAGTAACCCACATCTGTAGGGAGTTTTATGTTCACTCTTTTATGAAAAGAAAAAAAAAATTATCTGAATCTTATTTTTTTCACGCAACAACATTTTGTGGAAATCTTTCAGGTCAAATGGTAGATAACTAATTTTTCTTTATAATGGCAGCACATTCTATTGCTTGTATGTTAAATGAAAACTTACTACTACCACAATAGCGCGCACACATGCACACACACACACACACACAATTCATTTATCTTGTACCCCTCAATAATTTTAAAGCCAATTAGAACGATGAGACACAGACACATATTAAATACATACTCTGGTGCCTTTGCATTTAGGCATTCATTTGACCATTCCTCAAAAAAAGCTTAAGAAACTTACTTTAAGTCCAAGTACTGTCCTATCTCTATTTCCCATTTGTCCAGGCATTTTAGTACCAGGCCACACTCTGGCAACATCCTAAATGAGAAAACCAAAGTTAGAACTTCCAAGTACTCCCAATTTCAAGGAGCACTGACCAACTTAAAATGCCAACCAAGAATATGAGCTTTTAAAATTTTATTTCTTCCTCTTCTGAGGATTTCCTTTCTAAATAAGACTGACAAGAAAAATACAGAGTAAGAAAGACATTTAGGAAAAGCTCAGTGAGAAGAGTAAGAAACCGTATAGTAGTAGAGAAGTAAAAGAAAGGGTATATATGCACATATCATACCACCATTCAGAGAGAAAACACCTGACTGGACTGTTTTCATCAATCTTCTGTATTAATTGGCTTAATGGACTTCATCCACACTGCTACTACTGAAACAGTCCTACTTCCCACCCATGTTTTTGTAACTTTCTGTGTTCAGAATGATTAAAGAACAGAGTTATTAGAATATTGTTTGGCTAGTTCTGATTGTCTGATTCACATAAATCAAACACGCTTCATTCTATTTCTCTGACATTCTTCAGGTATACTTACTCTGTCACTACACTTACTCTTATTCTTCAAATATACTTACTCTGTCACTACAATACTAGAGTAGGACTAACATTGCCCTACCCCATCAAAAATTCACACTGTCATTAAAGGTATACCCTCACTCTTAGGATTATGAAGCATTTATTAGCCAATCCTTAATGAAAGTATATTTACAGCAACACAGAGAATATATTTCATGACAAATAATTACCTAGGATCATAAAAATAAGTTGTTCTATATCCTAATTTTTAGAAGAGCTTTATTGAGATATAATTCACGTATCATGCATTATATGGGTGGAAAGGCAAATTATCAGCAGGGGGTTGAACCAGAATGAACCAGTTTGAAGCCCTGTACAAAACCATAGTACAAATCATCATAGCTGGGAAATTGACATTATTAGTATATACCATTAACTAGACATACCTTATTTTTGTTCCTTATTCAGAGTTTTAGTTGTGTCATTTAGACAGTGTTGAGACAGTATTTTATATAAATGGAATCATATGGTGTGTGACCTTTTGAGATTGGCTTTTTGTCACTTAGCATAATGTACTTGGAATCACCAAATTGTTTTCAAAGCAGATGTACCATTTTACATTTCCACCAGCAATGCGTGAGGGTTCCAATTTCACCATAGCCTTGCCAACACTTGTCCATGTGTCTTTTAGACTGTATAGCCATTCTAGTAGGTGTTGTGCCGCTCTGACAGGAAATATACCACAAATGGGATGGCCTTAACAAACAGGAGTTTATTCTCTCATAGTTTGGAGGCTTTAAGTCCAAGTTCAAAGTGCCAGGCTCTAGGAGCTGTGTGAAAGCCCCTCTTGACCTTGGGCTTCAGCTCTGCCTCTTGCTCCCGGCCCACTGAAGCTAGAGGCATCTCTTCACTCAGGCAGCTACTGGGTGCTGAGGCTAGCAAGCCCAAGGTTGACAAATAAAATGGCACAGTCCTGGCATTACCAAACCACATGGCAGGCCATTAACTCAAGTCCATTTTAAGTCCCAAGGTTGGCAGAGCATGGTAGGCTGCTGAACAATGATACAGCTACATGCAGGGTTCAAGTGTGCCATAAGCTAGTGATCATTCCCAAAGCTGTTTCTTATATATGGGAAGCAGACCACATCCCTACAGCAGCTACTCAGCTGCTCACAGTAGATTTCACCATGGAGCTGATTATCAGTTTCATCATGGGAAATACTACATCCAGCTGCCCAGCCACTCAACCTGGCCCAGCCAAGCTGACACACAAACCGAACCACCACAGGGGTGAAGTTGTATCTTAATTGAGTTTTTATCTACATGTCCCTGATGACTAATAATGTTGAGCATCTTTTCAGGTTCTTATTGATCTTTTATGTTTCTTCTTTGTAGAAACGTCTACTCAGATTCTTAACCTATTTTTCAGTTGGGTTACTTATCTTTTTATTATTATGTTGTAAGAATTTTTAATATATTCTGGATGTTGTTGTTGTTGTTGTTATTTGCCGTCGAGTAGGCCCTGACTCATAGCGACCCCTCCTTGGGTTTCTGAGGCAGTATCACTATGGAAGTAGGATTGCCCAACCTTCCTTC